CCAAAGGAAGGGGCTCAGTCTTTGTTGCACGAAGAAGGAACGAAATGTCAAAACACAGCTGAAATTGGCAAAGCAAACGCTTGATATAAAAAAAAGAGAAAAAGAGAGAGAGAGAGATACTTACGGGCATAATTCCAAGCCTCAAGGAAGCCGCTCGCGTTGGCCACCATGTCCTCGATTTTAACAAAGAAGTAGTTGAGCCAAAACTGACGATTTGCCTTATCCTCCATCTTCACCACTAAACACTTGCTCTCTCGGTGGCGAAAGTGCAACACCGTCCACCTATGGAAACTAGGGGCTAAGAGATGCATCAAATGACAAAGTGCGACCCCGACCCTGGCTAATTCCGCATATTTCGTAAGCATGTGGATAAGCTTATAGATGTATGGAGAAAGTTGGACCGGGAAAACGCTATAATATCTGTAGAATTCCTCCGCCAATGGGAGAATAGGGAAGGATTAGCCGACGTAGAAAGGGTACACGTAGAAAGCGCAATTCCCAAGGCGATGTATTTGTACCACATTGTTTACCTCGAAAAATGTAAGTAACAATTAAAGATGATTTGTGGTTTTAAAGATACGTGAGATATTCTAATGCTAGTGATTATATGAGTAATATTGAGCTTAAGTAAGAAGAAATAAAAGAACCAAATTGATGCTGTTGGAACTGTAGGGGGCCTCGAGCTCGACTATCCAGGTACCTCGAGGTCAACTAAGAGCAATAAAGTATGAACAATAAAGTAAAGGCAATAAAGCTGAAAAGTAATAGCTGAGCACGTTAAACAAGAGAAGAATAAGAATATTCTATTGCAGTGAATGATCTGATCCCTTTACAATATGATTGGGGTCCCCTTTATATAGGAGGGGAAAACCCCAAAATAGTACATTGCTCATAAAAGTAAAGAATTCTATTGGTACAGGTGTATAACGGTCTAGTAGGGACCTGTACCATTTCGTACAACCCTTATCCTATAATTAATGCCCAGGTCCACGTGTCCTTGAGAAATTCCCGCTCTTTCTTGATTGACTTCAAGATTGCGACGCCCTCAATGCAGTCGTGTCAGGACCTCGATCAGCTTCCTCAAGGCGGGTGTTCCTTAGCCGGGTCTGATCCCCACTTTGAGCCTCCCGGACTCTGACCCATAGCCCGATTTAAGACTTCAAAATCATGCTCCCTTGGTTTTGACCGTATACACATATCGCGCTGCAGGAATTTTGAACTTTGCCCTAAACTCAGCAAGTTCAGCCTCTTTCATCAGTGACTCCGAGATCTCGGGGTCGTCCTCAAGCACCTTCGAAAAATTAGATCTAACCTTTTCACTACGAGGGATTATCTCCTTCACCATAGGAAAATTCTCGTCTTTGATGGCAACAGAAACACTATTGTAATGGGGAGGCATACATCGCCAAAGGAACAGGATCGGTTGCCCTTCCACAACTAGAAGATACATTAACAATTTTTTAGAGAGGATGTTGTAAGTGTAGAAGAGTCACGAGCAGTTGGTATCACCAGAATCAGGGAAAGCAGATATATGATAGTCAGGCAAAGAGGGCAAGAACTCTATATGAAGAATGAAGAAGAAGACACAGATTCGATATTTAGAATGCAAAAAATAAACGAATGGTTTTATATCCCTATTTATAAGAGTTCAAGCATCAGGATCGAGAAATCAAACTGTCATTACCCAGCGCAGGTACCGAAATGGCAAAGGCACGGGAAACGACGCAAGGTATCGGGAAAATGCATAATAATGACAGATGATGTCATGATGTCACTCTGAATCGATGTGACCCCAATGGTTGCGGCTCATGAAAGTTTACGCTGTCACCTCGTTTGAAACGCCACTACTCGACTTGCTCGTCCAAACTTCATAACCACGACAAATAGGGTTCGCTCATTAAGGTCGTCCCGGGCCGGCCTCAATAAGTGGATGGGCTAACTGTATAGGCTAAAATCTGCCCTAAGGAAATTTGGTGTAAAGCGGCACTAAGGAAGGATCAGTCGAGGTCGACCAGGAAGCAGTGAGATTCGTGGCCGGGCTGTCAATAACGACCGAAGTCGAGCACCAAGAACAGAACAATAACGGCTAGTTTTTGTAATAGGATAGTAAAGAGAATATTCTATTGAATATTCTTTGCACTTGTACTATTAGTGTTTGTTAAAGATATGACTCATATAAATAGAAAAAGAGACAATAGTGTAGGATATGTAATATTCACTTGATAAGAATACTTTTTGAGGAGAAGATTCTCTCTCTCTAGCAAAGATACAAACTTCACCTTTTCATCAAGATTCTTACTCACATTATTCCATACTTTTCCATCATATCCGAGAATAGTTCAAACATTCTAGGATTTATCCGTCATTCATCATTGTCAGAAGGAGGAATCATCCACTTCATTCATTATTGGGTGAATCATTCTCCTTATTTACATAAATGCCATTTATTGCTATTTGTTGCTTGATATTCCCCTATTACTGCACACATCTTTTGGAATATTAAATGTGCATTACTCTTAGTTTCCTACCGACTTTATTTTATGTTATCCATGCTATCAAGTTCTAAATCTAGAGATATTATCATTAATTAAGTTTAACTCCTCGTTACATAAAATTAAATAATTTAACCGAAAGGTTATATTTTTTGATCAAACAACACTGATAGTTGATTCCGTAACCTATTTGTCACACCATTGCAGTCTAGTGATTCAGATTGATATTTTATTGGGATGTTTGATAGTACTAAAGAAATAATTAAATATATGATGCCTGGTGTTGGTTGCTAATGTTTTTTTTGGACCGGACTAAATAGTAGCGGTATAGGTGTCTTTGAATAATTGTCAAATAATAACAAATTCATTCTTTTTGAAACGGAACATCATAAGATTCTAAGAAAATTATTAAAATCAAACAATAAAGAATACTTAAAGAAATTTAAATGAATTAGAGACAATTGAATTGATTGTTGATGATCAGTAGATAATGTCCCTCACTATACAAAATACTTCTAAGCTTTGTTGATTGTTATGCACTCTGTCTAGAATCTGCTGTGTCTTTTGGACATGGTACTCTGGTTTAAGATCCATTCAATTACCGAAATTCTAGCCCGTGCAAAAGTAAGGCCCAATCTTATATCCGGCCCAATTTGGTTGGGGAACAATAAAAAATAGTTAGATTTACTACAACTAATTGAAATTAGTGATAGTTTCAAAATCAATCAAAACTTAGCAACTTTTTCATGTGAAAATTAAATTTGAACAAAAATACCCTTAAAAATCCGGAAAATTTGTAGCATAAATATGTTGGAGTTCAAAATTTGTACATATGAGATTCCAGCATAATGTGGTGAGATTCATAATGCGGTGAGATTTATAATGCCGTAGAGTTCCAACATAATATGTTGGAAGCTTATACGCAGGAGTAATCCAACATATTATGCTGGAACTTTCCGTGTTTCAATTGGGTACTTTTGTCCAGATTTTATCGTCCGCATTAAATAGTGACTACTTTTCAATAACTTTGCAAACACTGGCTATCTTTCAATAACCACCCGTAAAAATGGCTATGTCATGCCATTCTGAAAATTTGGTTCCAATCTGGATCTTTACACAAACAATCGACTGGATTTAATATTTAATTTTTTTGACCAGTGTATATTAATTATACACGATTATATGTATACATGCATTATACACACGCTGACTATTCTTAGTTTCAGTGGTTGGTTTTGCGATTGTTTAGATCTATGTTGCGGACTCTCCAAAATACTGCACAATCGGATCCTCCAAAAATATACTACTTTTGAAGAATCAGATACGTACCCAACAATATTGTCGGATAGTGTGAACAACACAGATTTAGGTTCATTTTTCAATAGAAAAGTTATAAGCATATAAAGAAACATAAGCACATCAGAAATGTCAATATTTAAACAAAATAATTTCTTTCCATAGTCATTATATATATATATATACAATATAACGAGAAAAAGTGCTTCTCGTACTGTCTAATCTTGTGGGGAACTGGCTTTTTAGTTGTATGAAAGCCTATAGATTCTTGCTTCTTGCTCAAGCTAGGAACACTGATGCTAGCTTGTGCAAACTACTTAAAATATTCTTGTACTTCTTCTTTTCTCCCTTTCGATCCTTTCCTTTTCTATAGCATCGTGATCGTACTATTTTATTAATATAAGCTCATGAAATTGAGAAATTTAGATGAAATTATAAATATTACTAGAAATTTAGTATTTAAAGAAAATGGCTTTCAAGTATCATTTACTTGGAGTTTAATCAGTAGGAGAAATTTATAATTTAAAACTAGAAGATTTAGAATTTATAGATTTTAAATCTCTAAGATTTCAAATGACATGTTTTCATAAACTCAAAATAACGAATAGAATGAATCGTGATTTGAGTTTGTCTTAAATCAAAATTTCCTCTAAGTATATCCCAATAGATAACGAAAGATATACTTTTTTGAATTTGAAGTAAATGGCATCGAATACTGTATCTAAATAGATATATATACACAGAAAATTGTTTTATCTTGAGGAAGAGTTGAATTGGGTGAGGAGTACGAATAATGGCTATCCGATATACAAAGTATTCCACATTTATGCAGGATTCGGACTTGGGTGAGTGTAATACGAACAATTAGATAAATTACGAATTCTGAGGTGTGGAGGGTAAAGTAATTCTATGTGTGTACCTTAAATTCAAAGTCAAAAAAGCGAATGGAAACTCACCGATTTTATCTTTCGTCCATTGATAGATGCCTAAGCCACATTATATTATTCTTTACTCCTTAGCTGGTTTATACCCAACTTTATTTCTATGCAATATAGGGAATCCCAAGAGAAGGAAAAAGCAGGCAAAAAAGCACAAACAAAGCTAGCATTGTATGGACAAAAGAAGCTTTTCTTAAAAGCTACAGATATACTGTGGTATTATTAATTTTTTGTATATACCATTACTAAGAGCCTATTTCATTATATCTCACTAGCTATTTATACTACTATGGTATATCTCATGTAAACATACATTTTTCTGTTCCTTCCCTTAGGGTCGTTGAAGTTGATAAAAAAAAAATGGCTAAGATGTTTGGTATTTTTGCATGCTTACTGATTGTAGCCTTAGACGCCATAGCTGGGATTCTTGGAATCAAAGCAGAAGCAGCTCAAAACCAGGTATATCTCTTCCAAACAGCAATGCAAGCAATACATTATCAAACCCCTATTGACAAATTTGTGTTTGATGCATGGTATCTGATTATGTTTTGAGTTTAACTTCTATATACTGATATTATAGACAGGCTGATGACGATTCAATTGAACCCACAAGTTTCAATGCGGAACATAAATTTATATGTAAAAATCTACTAAACTTGCAACAAAAGTATATATGAACTTATAGTTTTAAAAATATAATGGCTTCAATACTAAAATATCTTAAAATTTGAACCCATAAAATTTAAATTCTGGATCCGCCTCTAATTATAAAAGAATTTTTATACCATCAGTTTACCTAAAAGATAGCTACAGGTAAGTGCCACTATAAGTAAAACTAGTTATTTGAGAAATAACACCAATAACATTACTCTGTTTTGTTGATATTGGAACAGGAAAAGCACCTGAAGTTGTGGTTGTTCGAGTGTAAAGAGCCAAGTCATGATGCTTTTGTACTAGGTGTAGCTGCAGCTTGTCTTCTTGCAATAGCACATGTTCTAGCCAATCTTCTTGGAGGTTGCAGCGTTTGCACTACTGATGACATTAAGAAAGCTCCCCCAAGCAGCCAACTATCAATGGCTTGTCTTGTTTTTACTTGGTATGTCTTCAACCCCTTCATTCATCAATCCTGGAAATGCATGCATTTTAAGACTAATCTTGTCATCTTTCTTTTTTCTTACCACATTTAACATGAATTCACGTGTACAACTAACGTTAAGCTAGTATTTGGACATAGATTTGAAAAAAAGAGTTTTTTAACTTGTGTTCAAAAAATAAGTTTTGGAAATTAAAGTTGTGTTTGGACATGCATTTTCTTTGAAGAAAAGTAAAAGTTTTGTGAGTGAGAAAAATTCAGCTAAAAATTGCACCAGTTTTCAGAAACATAAATTTTTTTTCACCAAAACATGATCATATTTCATAAACAAATAATGTTTTTAATTTTTTAAAATAAAAAAGGAAGCCAAAATTTATGGCCAAACCGGGGCTAAGAAAGGACTACTTAGGTGGGGGAAGGCAGGTTTCAACTTAGAAATGTGTAACATGTTTTATAATGTATGTACATTCACTAAGAAAGGTTGTACGTTTCAAGTTTATAAACAACCAGTTTAACGATGCTTCCAAAAGTTTCTTGTTAGATAAAAAAAAAAAAAAAAAATTTACCTCCTTTATCTACCATAGCGCTGCGAATTGTTTTTGGATAATTGTATAGTTGGAACAATTTCTATGCTTGGATGGAGTGATTGAAACATCCATGGACCTAAATCGCCAAGATAAGGAAAAAATATTATCTTGTACTCGGGATCTTTTTAAAATACTTTTTATGTATTTGATTATCTATTTATTTATTTTATTGGAATAATTAATACTCCAGTATAATATCTTGAACAGTGGAAAGGGAATTCCTTGTTGGGATGGGGTAAAGTGGTAGATCGAATTAGAACACTGTCCATGATTTGAGGTGAAATGTTACGTGTAATCAAAAGGACAGAATTACCATTGAGCCAAAAAGAGTTAAGAGTCAAAAAGTGTCCCTACATGCTGCTAATATATGCTTTCTGGGGTTTCAGGATCATAATGGCTATAGCAATGGGATTGCTCGTAATTGGGACAATGGCAAACAACAAGTCAAGAGCTTCCTGTGGGTTTTCACATCATCACTTCTTCTCTATTGGTGGAATTTTATGTTTTGTCCATGCCATCTTTTCTGTTGCATATTTTACCACAGCTTCAATGATACATACTTGCCCCATAGTCTAATATTATCAACTACTTTTCCCACGGCAAACCCTTTTTTAAGATTGCAAGTTCTTGATTTTCTACTTAGTTCTTTTTTTTTTTTTTTTGGTTTCGTCTTCTTTCTTGGGGCTGTCAGATAATGGAATATATTTTGGTAGAGTGGAACTCTCTGGCTTAGCCTATGATTGTGGATCGTAGTTAGAATTAGTATTGAAGACTATTATTGATAATCAATGTATCTTTATCTGGAAAATGGGATTCCTAATACACCTTCTGGGTGTCGAAAATCAAACTGCCTAGCACCTTTGCTGAAGGAAGAGGAGAAGTATGAGAGCCATAGCATCAAGGATGAAAACAAATACTTTGAGGTAAGATATTTGGTATACAGTACTTTCCATATTTAATAGGAGTACTAATAAGGGAAGGGAAGATGAGAGAAAAATAAGGTAACGATGCAATCACACCAAATCGGTGTTACTTTTCGTCTTCACGTACGAATGATTTAACGATACGATAAAATAAAATTTAAGTAACAATTAAAACAAATATTGCATTTAAAATAACAATACAATACAATAGGTAACAATCATCCGAACAAGCTGTAAGGGCTAAAAAAAATAGAACCCTAAAAGGAAAGAATATTAAGATAAAGAAATTGAACATTAAACGGAAAGAATATAGAGCAAAATAAGGAAATCACTCTGACAATGCAGCAAACCCACCAATCTATTAGCCCCTCGTAAAGATACTGTTATGACTAAGATCACACTCTGTCAAGAGAAGATGTATTCAGATGAATTCCAAAGAATTGAATGAGTGCTGCAAATGCCACACGCTTAAGCACCGGATACTTAGTTTTAAGGAAATACAGGATGATGCACTAAATATATGATTCATATAACAATAAGCTCCGTCAGAATAATCAAAGTTTCATGACTACACGTAAATATGAGTATTCCAGCAGTGAACAAAATCCAGCGCAACCAGAAATTTATACGAGGGGATTCAAAAAAATTCTAGGATGTCACGGTTGGACTCAAACCTATGACCTAAAGTAATTCCGAAACGCCTTTACTACTATACTTGAATTTTTCTACATGTCAAAAAGGGGATTCAACAGCTCACATATAACCCGAAAAAGATCATTTCTACTCTATTTACATAGTTTAATTTTCCAGCAAATGAAGTCCACCACCTTTTAACTTAAGCAGCAGAAAAACTCAGCATATAAGGTAAGTGCGCATCAAGTACAACAACGTGTAATCGCACAAGTGGGGTCTGGAGAGGGTGGTGCGTGTAAGCAGACCTTAAGGTAAGTGCGCATCAAGTACAACAACGTGTAATCGCCCAAGTGGGGTCTGGGGAGGGTGGTGCGTGTAAGCAGACCTTACCCCTACCTTGAGTAGAGAGGTTGTTTAAGATAGACCCTCGGCTCAAGAGAGGCATAAATGTGCAACAACAACAACAACAACAACCCAGTAAAATCACACTAGTGGGGTCATAAATGTGCATCAAGTAAATATCCAAATCGAGCAGCTGAAGTAAAAGTCTCAGAAAGCACCAAAAAAGAATGGTGCAAAGTAATTCTACAGGGCCAGAGGCCAGAGGAGAGGAGATAAAAGGTGGGGATGTTGCACCATAAATAGAATGAAGGTGAAGTGAGATAAGATGGAGCTAGGTGCTATTTGATATCTACGTCTCGGTCTCCCTGGAAAAAGGTATGACAGACAGATAATAACCATACAATAACTAGGATGGCTGACATGAAAAAAATGCTACAATCATTCCGTGCAATACAACATACTTAAGGATAGAATGACTGCCTAACTGACAATATTATATGGAAGCAAGTGTCATCTCTCAAGGGCTCAAAAGTTCACAAGATAAAAGTCAATGAAGAACAGATTAAAAGAGATGTATGATACTATAAAGCTGGACAATTCTTTTTTATAAGGTAAATTGGAAAAAATTACAGTGCAGGTAGCACATAGAGGATAAAGTGAGAGAAGATCGCCTGAGATAGCTTCGCCATATGTTATGCAAACCTCCAAATGCACTGGTCTTTAGGTTTCAGAATACGATAATTGAGATTTTAACAAGGGATAAGATACACCTAATCTCACATGGAGAAAAAAGTCTTTTAACACCTGCGTGATGTAGACTTAGTTAAGAACAAAACAAAATGGAAGAATAGATCTTTATGAGTGATGTAAATTAGTTGAAGGACAACCCAAGCTCAAAAACTGAGGAAGATAACATTTTAGTATTTCTTTCTGGAATAGGAAATGATAATTGAACTTTGTTCTGGTGGAATTTCTACTTCAGCTGCTTGCTTCCACCATTCAGATAGGATGCATGATTTGCAATATATGACGTCAATGTCACGAAAATTTAGGAAACTAAGCTCCCACTCACGACCCATGTAACATGTGTATGCATTTCATTGCAAACTTTTTATAGAGCCAATCACACTCGAACATGTAACGACTCAAAGGGTCATCACCTATTTCCTTACCCATTTTATACTTCCGAGGCCTGGAAAACCTTATTTAGGGTTGCCTCGATTTGCGTGCGCAGTCCGGGCACGTAGCCGAAAAGCTTAAATATGAATTCTGTGAGAAAAATGCTAAATTTTGATATTAAAATGAATAAATTTGACTTCGGTCAACATTTTGGGTAAACGGACCCGGACCCGTGATTTGACGGTCCCGGAGGATCCGTAGGAAAATATGGGACTTGGGCGTATGCCCGGAATCGAATTCCGAGGTCCCAAACCCGACAAATGAATTTTTGTGTAAAATTGTTTTCTGGAAATAATTAAGGAAATTGGAAATGAAATTTGATTAAAAGACTATGGTATCGGGCCCGTATTTTGGTACCGGCGTCCGGTACAAGTCTTATATATGGTTTAAGCGCTTTCTATAAAGTTTGGTTGAAAACGGACGTCGTTTGACGTGTTTCGGACTTAGAACTCTAAATTTGAAAGTTTATGAAGTTTGATGAAAAAGTGATGATTTTGAGGTTTGATTCCTCGTTTATGACGTTATTTTGGCGATTTGATCGCACAATTAAGTTCGTAGGATGTTGTTGAGTTAGTTTGTGTGTTTGGTTAGGCGCCTCGAGGGCTCGGGAATATTTTCGGAGGTGTTCGGGGTGGTTTTGGACTTAGGATGATAGCAGATTTTCTGCAATTTTTGCACAGTATTTTGCTTCTTCGCGTTCGCGGCCTTCAGCTCGCGTTCGCATACCTGTAGGCTCCCCCTTCTTCGCGTTCGCCTAGTAGTCCCCGCGTTCGCATAGTTCAGCCTCCCTCCTTCACCGCGTTCGTGAGTCCCCTATCGCGTTCGCGTATAACCAAATCCCGGACCCAGCCCATTCTTCTACGCGTTCGCGACTAGCATCTCGCGTTCGCGATGCCTTGGCCCATTTACCCTTCGCGAACGCGGCCCCCTTCCCGCGAACGCGAAGGGTATTTTTGCCCAGTGATTTTTAAAATTCAAAACAGAACCAGTGATGGGAAATTTCACAAAATACACACGAGTTCATCTTCTCCACAGCCCATAGGCGATTTCTAGAGCTTCCCTTCACCAAAGCTTCTTGGGTAAGTATTGTTTAACTTGTTTCCTTCAATTTCCTTCATCATTTATCAAATTCCTAAGCTCAAATCATGTAATCTAGAGTTGAAATTGGGGGAAATGGGTAGAGTTAGGGCTTTTCGATTTTCTTCGATTTAGACCTCGTTTTGGGGTCGAATTTGAAAACAAATTGTATATTCGGGCTCGTGGGGGAATGGGTGATATGGAATTGGTTCGAACCTTGTGTTTTGACCAAGCGGGCCCGGGGTCGATTTTGGAATTTTTGGAAGAAAGCTTGGAAATCTATAATTAGACATTGGGTTTGATTTGTTTAGTATATATTGATACTATGAAGTCATTATTGTATAGATTTGATTGAGTTGGAGCCGAATTCGAGAGGGAAAGCAGTTGCGGTGGATTGATTTGGCCGTGGAAGTTGAGGTAAGTGTTTGGTCTAACTTTAGCTTGAGGGAATAGGGGTTGAGTCTTATTTGCTACTTGCTAATTGTCGAGTACGATGTATAGGCATGGTGACGAGTATCTATACATTGATGTCTAGCATGACCGTGAGTCCTATATTGTGATTTCCATGACTTCGTTGTATTATTCATGCCTTGATGATTATTTCTATTTGTTGTGCAAAGATGTGGAAAGAATCGTGACCTATGGATATTGAGGAGCGTTGGCTCCAGTTGTATAGCGAATTGCGAAAGTATAAGTGATAATTGAACCTCTAGAGCATTGGCTCGAGTTGTGAAGTGAATTGTGAAGTAAAAGTGAGGAGAGAAAAGATCATTATGCTGTCCCTTGGCGGGCTATTGTCGAATTGTGGTTCCCTTGTATTGTGTTCTTAATTGATATTACAGATGCTTAGTTTAATGATTCCTTGTGTTGAGTAAGGACTAAAGTTATAGCTGCGGTAGTTATATGATGTCATAGGTTTGGTTATAGCTGAGGTGTTTAGGTGTAGTAACAAGTGTGATAATAGTTGTGGTAGTTAGATGTTGTAACAGGATTGATCATAGTTGTGGTAGTTAGATGTTGTAACAGGATTGATTATAGTTGTGGTAATTAGATGTTGTAACAGGATTGATCATAGTTGTGGTAGTTAGATGTTGTAACAGGATTGATTATAGTTGTGGTAGTTAGATGTTGTAATAGGATTGATTATAGTTGTGGCAGTTAGATGTTGTAACAGGATCGGTTATAGCTGCGGTAGTTAGATTTTGGAACAAGTGTGGTTATAGATGTTTCTCCCTTGCCGGGACGTAATTACTCATGCTATCGAATCCCTTGTCGGGAGAGTGTGGACCTTATCGATCTCTTGTCGGGACTCTCATTATAATTGTAAATATTATATATATGGATCGGGTTGCACGCCGCAACAATATTAAATATGGACCGGGTTGCACGCCGCAACAATATTGTATATGGATCGGGTTGCACGCCGCAACAATATTAAATATGGACCGGGTTGCACGCCGCAACAATATTGTATATGGATCGGGTTGCACGCCGCAACAATATTAAACATGGACTGGGTTGCACGCCGCAACAATATTGTATATGGATCGGGTTGCACGCCGCAACAATATTGTATATGGATCGGGTTGCACGCCGCAACAATATTAAATATGGATCGGGTTGCACGCCGCAACAATGTTATATACGGATCGGGTTGCACGCCGCAACAGAGATATAATGAAATGGGAGCGGGTGGTACGCCTACCACGAGATAGAATGAAATGGGAGCGGGTGGTACGCCTACCACGAGATACAACGAAATGGGAGCGGGTGGTACGCCTACCACGAGATACATGAAATGGGATCGGGTTGCACGCCTGCAACGAGATATGTACTGACAATGAAACCTGCTTTTATTTCCCTTATCTGTGTTGGAGTTAAATTATTGATGTTCTTTATTATTCTCTTGATATTCTGTTTTTACCTGTTATTCCCCGAAGCATGTTTCCCCCTCCCATTCTTACTTGCTTATACCTGCTTTTACTTTCCGCTGTATTTTTATATGACTGCACAGGTTTATTTGATAGTCTGGTCCTAGCCTCGTCACTACTTCGCCGAGGTTAGGGTAGGCACTTACCAGCACATGGGGTCGGTTGTGCTGATACTACACTCTGTGGTCTTTTGCACAGATTCAGGTATTGGACAGCATCAGTAGTTGGAGGGCTTCCTTCAGCTTCCCCGGAGACCCAAGGTAGACCTGCAAGCGTTCGCGGGCCCTGGCGTCTCCCTCTATTTTATTCCCTGTTTCATTTTCTTTGTTTCAAAAACAACTTATTGTATTTTCCTTCGGACTTTGTTTGTAGTGACTCTTAGACAGTCTGTGACACTGTGACACCAGATCTTGGGTAGAGGCTTATGTTGGATTTCCGCATTTCCTATTCAGTTCCTTTAATTTAAGACTTTCGCTTTATTATTAAATTCCAATGTTGCATGCGATTGCTGATATTTGCTAAAAGAGGTAATTAAGGTTTGGCTTGCCTAGCTCTCACTAGTAGGCACCATCACGACTCCCGAGAGTAGAAATTCCGGGTCGTGACAGAACAAACAGAGGAAGCAAAACTATAAATCCCAGATAAACCATTTCACTTGTAATAAAACTAAAGAAGCAAATAACATGTATGAACTAAACTGAAAAAGAAAATCTAACTTGCAGGATCAATCATAAGTTCATTAACACGAAGAAGAAATTGTCTTGAGAGACGAGAACAAACGTAAAAAGCTCCACAGGCTAGGTACCCAAAAGTTTGCATAAAAAAGAACAAAATAATCCATCAACATCTAGTTACCTCTCCTTGCATCAACCACCAATTTGTAATGCTCCCTAATCAAATCTAAGCGCTTGAGCATTAAGTCATGTTCATCATCGTGCAGTTTCTTCCACTTTTCCTCCAACACCTTAGCCTTGTCACTAGCAATCAAACTCATATTCTCCTTAAATATATCAACACCATTCGGAAAGATAGAAGACATGGCCGGCAAACTAAAGGATGCAGCTAAATTTGGATACTTAGACCGAAAATCCTGTCGATCATCACCCTTTACTACAACATCCTCCTTATCTACCTCTTTCACAGCAGCCCGTTTCTCGTCTTCCTTAGGCTTCTCATCATCCTTCGGTTTAGTAAAGGTACTAATTTTAGCACTTCTCTTAGGTTCAGCAGTACTCTTCTTAACAACATCAACAGTCTTTTTAGCTTTCCCATTAGTGCCATTGTTAACATTCTCATTAACTCCATTAGTATTACTAGTTCCAGCATCACCCCAAATCTTCTTAGAAAACTCGAACATTAAATAATCATGAGGCTTAGAGAAAACTGGTTCCTCACCAATTTTCATATTAGTTACAAATTTCTTTTTTAACCTTCTAAGCTTATCAGTAACTTGACTTTTTGAAACTTCAACTTGCAATTTCCCTTTAATAAAGTCATGAAAAGCAGACATATCAGTTGCATTTGGTTCGGAACCTTTTTGGGCTTTGAATTCAGCCATACCTTTGAGTATAGCAAGCTGATCTTCGTCACTCCATAGCCTGCTAGGTGTAGTAGCAGCTGATTTCTTCTCCTCAGAAACCTTACTATCTTCTTCAGAAATCTTGGGCTTTTTATTGGGCCTTGAGTGTTTTTCTTTTTGGGCCTGCTGTTGTTGGGTTTCTTGAGGCCTCTTTGAAAGGGGTTTTGATGGGGATTTTGCTGCGGGTATACTGGGCTTGACGGTGAAGTCGGAAGCAGAAGGGGAAGGTTGGGATTGACCCGACTCCGAATCGGAATCGGATCCTGACCCATCTTCAGTTCCGGACTCAGAAGAAGAAGACTGAAGTTTGTTTTGTGGGGTTTGAAGGGGTTTTTGGGAAGTGGGTTTTTTTTCAAGAGGAGGGGCTGTTTTGGGTTCTTCTTCCTCTTCTTCGTCACTTTCTTCTTCACCAGATTCTTCTTCTTCTTGTTCCTCTTCGGATTGTGCTTCTTCTTCTTCTTGGGATTCTTCTGCTTGTTGCGGGTCCTGTTCTTCAGAAGAGGAAGCAGAAGGAGGCTGGTCTACTAAGCGAGATTTGCTTTTGGGAGCCATAGTTTTAGAAGAGAGCAAACGAATAGAAGAAGATTTTTGGGTTTTGGCCGTCAGCTGTGTGCCTTTCTAAAGGTCAAGACAAAAGGTAAGGGCCTAACTTGTATTGTGTAGGGTTTTCAACTTATATGCATGTCAAGGTGGCTCATTGTCTTTATCAATTACCCACTCCCCCTAGGATTCGAAAAATACTTGGCATACATCTAGTGCACCACTGCACACGGAGAAATTCAAAAATAGCCAAATTTATAATTGGTCGTTCAAAAATAGCCCAATTTCAAAAGTAATCGAAATTTAGCCACTTTTTATGTAAAGATAAATCTGAGCGAAAACACTGTTCAAAACCCGAAAAATATTCCAGTATATTATGCTGGAGTTCCAGCATAAGTATACTTGAACTCCAGCATATTATACTGGAGTTCCAGGATAAGTATGCTGGAACTCCAGCATAATATGACGGAGTTCCAACATAAGTACACTAGAACTCCAGCATAATATACTGGAGTTCCAGCAAGTATACTGGTGCAGTATAATATACTGGAGTTTGGAGCATCGGTGCTCCAGTCTCCAGTATATTATACTGGAGCCAGCGACCGGTCTCTATTGCAGCAAAATAGTGGCTATTTTTCATTGACTTGGTAAACGCTGGCTATTTTTGAATGACCAGTCCGAAAACTAGCTATACCGTGCTATTTTTACCACTGCACATGTTCCATTTAGGCCAAATACATAGACAGCCCATTAAACTTGGCCCAATTTTTCATTTTGGCACTTTAAGTCAGCCTTGTTCCATTTTGGCCCTCCAACTCTATTTCTTTTGTTCCACTTTGACACAAAAGCTGACTAGATTCCATGTGTGATTTGTCTCACCTTTGTAGGCTCGTGAGAGCCATTTTTTAAGCCAAATTTCATACTCCCAACGTAGAGGCGGATCTAGAATTAAATCCTATGAATTTAATTTTAATATTTTTAACATTGAACCCATTATATTTTTAAAGTTATGGGTTTATATCTATTTTTTTTACAATTTTAATGAATTTTTACATATAATTTTTTACTCCACGTCGAAAGTTATGGGTTTAGTTGAACCCGTAGTTATTATTGAAATATATAAAAAAAAATATTTTTTCCACGGGAGGGGGGCAGAAAAAACGAAAAAATAATAATTTGAAATTACAAAAAAAAAAGAAATTGCAGGGGTGGGGGTGGGGGTAGCAGCTGGGTATTTGTCGCACTGCTTTTTTACCTAGGATAAAAGTTTTCATGTCAAAGTGGAACAAAAGAACCCATTATATTTTTAAATGTTATGGGTTTATATCTATTTTTTTACAATTTAAATAAATTTTTACTCTGCGTCGAAAGTTATGAGTTCAGTTGAACCCGTAGTTATTACTGAAAATATATATATAAAAAATATTTTTGTCCCCGGGATGTGGGCAGAAAAAACGAAAAAAATAATAATAATTTGAAATTACAAAAAAAAGTTAAAAAAAATTTAAGGGGGGGAGGGGGGTGAAGGGGGGGGGGGAAAGGGGGGCAGTGGGGTGGGGGTGAGGGTAGCAGCTGCACGCGCTGTATTTTGACATGGGAGAAAATTTTTTGTGTCAAAGTGGAACAAAAGAAATGGGGTTGGAGGGCCAAAATGGAACAAGGCTGAGTTAAAGTGCTAAAATAAAAAATTGGGCCAAGTTTAATGATGTGCATATGTATTTGGCCTTCCATTTATAATGTAAAACTTTACCATAATAAGTAGGAGCAATTAAATAGTTGTTTGACCAAAAAATATTAAACTTTTTAATTAAATCAATCAATGATAAGAAGAGGAGTGAATCTTAGTTAAGGATAATAAATCTAGACCAAATGATAGATAGAATAGATAAAATGAAAGGCATTGGTTAATATATTTGAGTCGATTAAATGCTCATAAATGCAACAACACAAATATGCAATCAATTTAAGTAAATGCGATCGGCGTAATCATACGAAGTTGCTACCCAATTATTGAAATCTCCCGGAAAGCTTCTTTCCTCGGTAACAGAGTGGAAAGAGAAGAGATATGAGATAATTGAGGAATCTTTTAAACCCTGTCAATGTAGAACAATGATATGTAGTTTTGCACTCAATGAATAAGGCCTTTCTAGTATATTCTCTCAGATAAATCTGTTACAAAGTGTTCTTTTGTCTCTTGCCCGGATCCCCTTTTTTTTTACTAACTCTTCCTATTTATAAGGGACAATCTCCCAAGAAACCCTAAAAAGTACAACATAAAGAATATTCGAAAAGCATATTCTTACAAAGTGTTCTTTTGTCTCTTGCCCAGATCCTCTTTTTCTTTACTAACTCTTCCTATTTATAAGGGACAATCTCCCAAGAAACCCTAAAAAGTACAACATAAAGAATATTCGAAAAGCATATTCTTACCGTCTCCCACTAAGTTTAAACTACAGTTGACATCTCGTCTCGACTCACCGCTCTTGGTCGTCGTCCTTTATCATGACGACCATCACACGTTGCGTTACGATAACCTCGTTCCTCGTCCTACTTGGTAACTGTCGTGGTTGCCAAATTTGGACCCATACAGTTAGTCCCTCCGCTTGTTGAGCTCGTGGCCCTGTACGTCCTTGATAAGCGAACATCGCCTATACCCGCGGAGAAATTTGGCTGTTTGAATTACGCCGGTTTGACCAGGAAAGAAAGAGTGATGCGTTCCACGATATCCTGGTTGGTGTAGCTTATAGGGAAATGAAGTCACTCTCACGTGCGTCATCATTACGCGTCTTCCCGAGACAGAGACTGATTGCTTGTCGCTTTGGTTTTGGTGCCATTGGCAGCCTTCCGCTTCGATTCTAGCGCCACCCAACCCTATAATAGGTGAAGTTTTTGTTTTTTAAGAACTTTTAGCCATTTCCTTTCTTGTGTATGCATTGCCTCTTTTGGTCATCTATTCTTGTGTTTTTAGCTCTATTTTCATGATTTTTCTTCTCATCCTCTCTGTTCAATCACCATTCTTCATTTTACGTTTTACCAACATACCCTTTATTATCAAGATGCCCAGAACGTATCGGACACACGAGGAAATTTTTGACGCCACCCCGTTATCCATGGCACCTCCTTCCAGTTGCGAGGATATGGTAGTTGAGGAGGGGGACATCTTTCCCACTATAGAGGAGATACTCCCAAGAAACCCTATGTCTCGGAATGATTTTCACAAAGAACTTGCCTCTTCCCCCGTTCTGGTGGTTTCTGAAATCGAGCAGGCCCATATAAATGACCTCCGGTCTACGTACAACATTCCTCCCTATGTTGAGATGGTTCCGGCTGGGAGGGACCTCGTGGAGGTTCATAGACCGGGATATTGTGCTTTTTACGTATATCCCTTTGTGATCGGCCACACCCTCCCTCTTCTTTCGCCGGCGAAGGAATTCTGTCGGTTCTACGAGGTCTGCCCAGTGCAGCTATCTCCGTATACGTATAAGATTTTTCTAGTACTGACGAAGTATGCGGAATTGGCGGGGTGTGAAGTTGGCCTTCATCACCGTTTACATTTATTTTCCTCGAGTTTTCACAGGGGCACCATGATGCACTTGCGGCATCGTGGGACCAGGGGGTTGGTGGTTGGGACGGACGATCGGGCAAGCCACAAATTTTGGCACAAATACTTCTTCATTAGACCCGAGCACCTGGTGTCGGAACCCGCTAGATTCCCAGAGCGGTGGAATCATAACCGTAGGTATTGGTACTCGTAGTTTACTTTCGTTCTTTCCGATTTGTACTTATTTGTAACTTTTCTGTATAGCTGCGAGACGTACCCCTCTTCCTGTCGTTGATATCGAGAATTGGGTAGCTGGCGTACTGCCTTATGCGGCGGGGACTCGAGATTGGCCCGCCTTCCTCAAACGTTTTGGGCCGAGAGTTTCATCCGGTAAGTGTTCCTTTTGTTTTGATCTTTGGGTGTTTGTTGTCGTTTATTGATACAGCCTTTTCGTGATGATAGGTCGTAGGGCTTTTAGGAAGAAGGCCCCAGTTCCGGCAATCTCCTAAGCCATTGCATCAGCAGGCATGCAATTTGCCTTAGCTGAGTCCGTCCGAGGAGACCGTGTTCAATCTGTACCGGCTAGAGACTCTTCTCATGACGTTATCGTACGGGATTAGATCTCTTCTCGACCGGTCTACCATCTCCTGGATGAGCCTTCCAACGGGGATGAATCACCGTCGAGGAAAAGGAGTAGGGTAGAGCTCGGGAAGGCCGTCGCCACCGATACTGGAAAGAACAGAACTGATGCTTCGGGGTGGCGTCTTTACCTGGTTCAGGCACAGGTGCCGTTTTTATGGCGGACACCATTCGGGCAGGGAGGTCCCCTAGGGCCGAAGGAATATATCAAGGCGGGGATCTGTACGGTCCGCCGAGGGTAGCGCATCGTCCGCCGTCGGAGGAGGCGGAGTTGAGCATGTCGAGGACGACGGTTCAGGTTCGGATGTCAACCCGGAAGAGGTGCGCGCTTACTTAGAGCGACATACTCGCATCGAAGTAAAGACGGAAGGTCCTGATCGACACATAGTCATCCCTGTGGAGTATGACTTGTTGGCGAATTGTGAGCAGGCAGCATCGACGTTTTCCCCTTTGTGCGCTACTTCCGAGAGCGCGGTACTTAAGGGAATGAGTGACGTAGAGCTATCACGGAGTGTTTCCGGCATGGCTCTACGAGTAAATGCTTCTCGTTTCTCTTCGTTTTTGGATTTTTTTGTATCCTTAACCCACTCTTTGTTTTGAATTTGCTTTGCATACTAGACCCTCATCATGGAGATCGAGCGCGAACGTAGGGATAGGCGGAGGACGACCATTTTTGGGAAGATGACCTCCCAATATAAGGAGTACCGCACCAAACATCGTGCGTTGGCCGATCTCTTTACTCAGGACAACGACTTTCAGCTGTTCCATGACGGGCTCAAGCAAAAGGAGAATCAGTTGGCGCAAAAGTCGAAGAGCTGAGAGAGCGAGATGAAGATCTAATGAAGGCCATTGCTTGTTGTAGTGAACTTGAGGCGGCTCTCAAGGACAAGGAAGTTGAACTCGAGCTGAGTAAGGGGGTCATGGCCGAGAATGCCGACCTTCA